TTATATTAGAACCTGGACTCTTAAAGTTTTACCTTTTGACTACTGGGTCGGTATACAATAGTCCGTATTTCTAACTTCAGCAAATTTAGTTTTCATATATATATACCAATGCAAACTGTTTAAAAAAATAATTGTTAAGAAGATTTATTAGTTTAAATGTTCACCGCTAGGTCTAAAGGTCCTCAGTGTGGTCATTGATATACTTTACTGTGGAGTTTCATAATAGTACGAAATAATTGTCTACTGCTTCCTGGCTTTCACTTGTTTAACTAAATTCAGTCCGTGATGTGTAACATCAAAATCATTAATCTCCACAACGCCCTATATTCGCATATTTTCTCGATTTTCACATTCTTGCTTCTATAGTGTTGTTAGTTGATTTGGCGAAGTCGTACTGCTGACTGTACAGAGGTGTGACAGCAGTAAGGTGTTTCCTTCAGACAACCAGCATAACAGTGATGCCGCCTTCCCAAAAGGAGGGGTGGGGTTAGAAATGGTCGACCCTGAAAATGCACACCTCGCCTTATCCCACGGATATCCGTCTCCGGGGGTAAGGTCTCAACAATACGGAGCTAACACAAAAATTACTCATAAAAAGGTCGTGTGTGACCGACCTCAAGCAGCTGTCCCTTGGGCACTGTGGTCACGCTCTCAGGTCACTAAGACCACCTCTAATCCAATTTTCTTTTTCAGGCACCTCCAGAAGAACCCTTCCACGGTGTGGGCAACCGGGAAGTGATAACCGCCCTCATACCTCTAACAGCACTCAAGACCACTGTATTCATAATCAACCTACCACTTCAATTCCTATTATTCCTCTTACATCGACTTTCAAATCTAAACCCCCTCTTTCGGCTTCCTCCTCAAGTGTCACCATAGCCAACGATTCTAGTGCGTAAAACATTGTCCCAGGTCTACTGAAACCTCGCTCCAAACTACACATTGGAGCCTTCAACGTACACACACTATGCCAAATCGGTCAGCAGGCTTCCTTGGATAAAACCTTAGAATCTCGTACGATTGATGTATTCTGTGTCCGAAACACGCATACAGAATCCTAGTGTAGTCATTCACTTGACCTCACCTCGGCAAAACGGAATGCCGACGAGATACACCCTCCGTGTATCTGGCGACCCGATGGCTAGTTCTCGTGGACTGGCAGGTGTAGGTATAGCACTAAGCATGAGGTCGGAACAAGCGCTATTAGAGTGGATCCCCGTTAACAGTCGTCTATGCGCTGTTCGGCTAAACGGCTCCGTAAGAACTCGGAAGGATAGGGACACACGTCGTTGCCTTTTCGTCGTTTCTGCCTACGCTACCACTGACTGCAGTTCGGATGAAGTGAACGATGAATTTTACAGAAAACTGTCTGTACTTCTTCAGAAAGCTAAACGTTCAGACATAGTGACTTTAATGCACAGGTAGGTAGCTTAAACGAAACAGAAAGACATTTAGGTGGGTATTTAAGTATTCCGGTACAGAGAACAGATAATGGTGATCGTCTGCTGCAACTTTGCTCAGACAATCGTTTATTTTTAGCAAACACAAATTTTAAGCATAAGGAGAGACATCGTCTAACATGGCGACCCCCTGCACCAAACCAACGATGAACTCTGTGGCAGTGTCTGTCATTGAAAGGCGTACCTCAGAAGTGCATAAACCTTGTGAATGCTCTTTACTCGAACTCTACTAGTCGAGTCAGAGCTTATGGCGAAATTTCATCTGCTTTTACAACCTCAAGTGGTGTCCGCCAAGGCTGTCCATTTTCTCTTTTTTTGTTTAACTTCATCATAGAACTACTTATGGAAATAACGTTCTCATCCACTGAATTTCTTCCAGGAGGTCCATTTATCGACTTAGAATACGCAGATGACATAGTCCTGTTTGGTGAAGACGCTGATGAAATGCCAAGTCTTTTGGTAGCACTGAGCAACAATGCCAGAATGTTTGGGATGCGCTTCTCTCCCTCTAAATGCAAGTTGTTGCTTCAGGACTGGTCTGCGTCAACACCTGAACTAAGGATAGGGAGTGAAGTAGTCGAACGCGTTGACAACTTCACTTATCTTGGAAGTCTGATCAGCCCTAATGGGTTGGTGTCTGACGAAATCTCAGCACGGATTCGAAAAGCTCGTTTGGCCTTTGCCAACTTACGTCATCTATGGCGAAGGCGAGATATCCGTCTATCAATTAAGGGACGAGTATACTGCGCGTCAGTTCGTTCTGTTCTACTTTACGGCTGCGAAACATGACCTTTAAGAGTAGAAGATATTCGTAAGTTACTAGTATTTGACCACAGATGCCTTAGAAATATTGCTGGTATCTGCTGGGATCACCGGGTAAGTAATAGTGAGGTTAGATGCAGGGTATTAGGGAATAACGGTAAATCAGTTGATGAGATTATGAATCTTCATAGACTGAGATGGTTGGGCCACGTGTTGCGTATGCCTGAACACCGATTACCACGTTGCGCAATGCTAACTGGTGTTAGGGATGATTGGAAGAAAGTTAGGGGCGGCCAAACCAAAACGTGGCATCAGTGCTTGAAGTCACTAACTTCTGGTCTGAGCCATGTTGGTAGATGCAGACTAACTGGTTGGGGTTCGCGTGACTATCGTAACCAATGGTTGGTGACTCTTGGTGACATGGCTCAGAATCGATCACAATGGCGTCGGTGTATACACTCTCTGTCTTCCTTTAAACTAAGAGACTAAAATCGCTTCATATCTTTCTTTCTAGGAACTAATTCTTTCTTCCTGTACTATGTTCTTATATGCAATCTTTCTTCTATATATTACCACCACTGAATTAACTACTTCTATGAATCCGGTGTTCATCTTGTTGTGCTAATGCGGTATGGCAACTTGGACCGATGCATATACGTGCCTGGTCCTACGTTGCAGCTGACTGACTGACTGAACCTTATGATATTGTAAATAGTGTGCTGAATAATTAATGTCTTGCGTTATCTAGTCGAATTTATTAGAATCAGACTATTAATAAGTGCTGATAAAATATTTTAAAATCAGTGCACTCAGATATAGATTATGGTGTATAACAAATCTTCATCTGTTGTCCTTCCCTTCTATCTTTCATCGACAAACACCAGTATTTTGTTCAGTTATAACAAGATCAGACTTGGTTTGTATCAAGAAATACTATATGAAACGGTGAAACTGAACTATAAGGTCATTTCAATGAAGAAAGATCATATCGCTCCATAGTCACGGCATATATATCAGAACACAATTTTATCTATCACACGTAAGCGGTTAATGACGAAAACGTCAGTAAAAGCTTAAAGCTAAGGTTTGGATTTAAGATTTAGTGTTTGAATTAGGATAAGCATTAAGACGAATAGTTCGGGATTCAGATTTAAGTACATATAAACAACCGTAAACCTTAACCACAGTCGTTAATCCTAATCTTAAATCTTAAACCGTACCTTATAAATATAAATTATTCACTCACAATTTTACATGTTCATGGTAATTAACTCACCGGATTATGATGTAAACTAGCTATATATTCAGTAATAAAATTTAGTGAAGCAAAATATAGACAGATATTTATTAGTACAAAAGTTAAACTAGCAATTAATACTTTGTGAGTCAAACAGTGAACAACATAATATTAAAAAGATAGAATACTGTAATACTGTCTATACAAAGAATGATAAGCATTAACTTCATTGTCCATTGTCGATGTTCACGTCAAACTATAAACATATAGTACACTTCCTACTTATAAGTACGATCGAACACAGATTCATTGAAGATAATTGGAACGAAGATATCAATATTAGCATAGATACCTAGAAAAACCAATCCCTTCACTCCATTCAACGCCTGACTACAAAACAGTCAGTGCCGGTCTTGTGTAATTAGTTTGGTTTTAAAAATACACTACATACTTGCGAATACTGATCATTCATGCAAGTAACAATTGAAGCTATTTTAGAGTATAATTTAGAAACATGTATTTTACATTGAAATATATTTTAGGTTGCAATAAGAACTGTGATATTTTTTACGTGTTATTCTCAGTTAGTTCATAATCTTTTAAACTGTGATTTGTTGGAAATATACTGTTTGCAACTGCTTGATACTATTTATCTATTACATTTTAACATCAGTATAAAAGGTTTACCAGCAGTATTTATAGGACCGTATATAGATAACTAGTGATCATTAACATTTGACAGTTCGTGTAATTAATCAAATGTATATGAAATATAGTTATCTGTATGGGTTCATTGGTAATAATTTTAACGAATACCCAAATTAGCCAACAGAATAAGAATCAATTATTTTATTGTCAAAGAAATCTCCGTCCAATATACTTGTTTTCCTGGATGGCTATTGTTTCCCAGTCGTAATTTTCCGTGTTTAATACAGATTGGTGTATCTCTTATTTATATATCCCGACTGTGGCTCACATTTACATATTGTAATGATTAAATATAACCATATTAGGTAAAGTAACTGCTCCGTTATGACCTACTATCTCAGGCTGGTCGGTTGGAGAGTGAAGTCTAAAAGCAGAAAATAAAAAATTATACTGATGACTGCATTGGGATTTGTTGTCCATAGGCGCCTTCATCGGACATCAAGCATTTGCCTTCTCAAAATAGAAGAAAGCTTTCAAAAATATCTGTCTTGAAGTTAGCGTACTAAATCTCATTCCACGTACTTCCATTGGGATTGGTAAGGCTTGAAAAGTGAGGGGCTAACACCCTACGAAATTCACACAAATAACCACGTGTGACTTCTGTAAAGCAACTATCGTTTGGGCGTTGCTATTACACTTCCATGTCACCAAGATTACCCCTAACCCAGTTTTCTTTCCAGGTCCTTCAAGAAGAAATATCTTTCCATGATATAAACAACCGGGCGATAACAACAGCTCTCATACCTCAAATGGCACTCCGGACTTATTCACGTGTGAATGGATTACTGTTAACTCAATGTCCTCAGTTCTACTTTTTTCTCTCTTATTCTTAGTACTTCAAAAGCTGAACTATTAGGACGTCGTATACTAATGTATTCTTATGGTTCTGGGATGGCATCAGCTATGTACAGTATTCTTATCCACCCAGATCGTGATTTATCCACAATTTTGAATTGTTCACTAGAGTCGCCCAATGGTTTGTCTAATATTCATAAACGTCTATTTGATGAGCGAACTCAAGTGACTGTTTCGCAATTTGAACTAATGCTTAAAGAACGACAACTTTCACATAATTCAGGTAAGTACTTTTTGTACATATGTAATACATTTATTATTTTAACCCAAGTAATAATTAATATTTGTCGAATAATAATAAAAAGTTTGACTTAGTAGTGAAGACTTAGTGCGATTGTTTAAGTTAACAATATGAATACATGTTCTCGTTTTCCTGGATTGTTATTCGTGTATGCATATATGTGTATGCCTTCACATCATCAACTGATCATAGTTAGAAGACGATTACAACCAAGAAGCACTGACACATCTCTTTCGTTTTGGCATGGAACTCCACAGTAGTGCACTCCCACGGTATCAACTAAAAACATAGACTGACTCATGTTAAAAGTGTATACCTATGAATTAAATCTCATTGGTTTAAAGATTAAGAGCTCTCTGCAAAATCTAAAGCTCCTTAGTTTAACCCCCGATTGGTTTTCGGATACACACTGTAGATAAATCGCATATTAAGACGAAACAGATGTTCAGTGCTTCTTGGTTTTAATCATTTTCTAACTATGATCATTTGGATGATGTGAATTTCGAAACTTAACAGCCTTCACAAACCCTTGACGCTAAAGAAATCTAACTAATTAATTATTGTTAATATAGTGCCCAGTAAATATAGCGATGAATGTAAGTGAATTGTTAGTTGTGAAATTTGTTTCAACTTGATATGAATATTAAATAATAAATGTTTCTTGAAAGGGCTCCAGTTGGATGACGTTACCTGTTTTGAAATCACGTGACCTGTTCTAGAACAGGTCGGTTTATGAATGAATACTTTAAAAACTTCATATTTTATATTCGCGTCAAATATCTTTGAAAATATTCTTTTAACATCTATCAGTTTCTTTATAACTTATTTTTGTGAATACTGAGATTTCCAACCCTTTATAATTTCATAGATTTACATTCATTTGTGAATTTTCCCTTAATGTGTATTGAAAAGAAAGTCGAGTTATTGTTAAAATAATATTGTTAACTGACACACGACTACCAAAACGAAACAAATCCATAGATTGAACACATCTTACAGAATAGATCAATAGTGGTTTGTAGTGGAATCTGAAACACACACCTCATTCTCTTTCGGACGTGCCAACTGAATATACATCCATTTCAGTGTTGATGTTCAGATTGGGGCTCAAATTTTTTCAATTAAAAGGATTATTGAGCAACAGTTAATTTTAATTTTCGAAATTTATCGTGAAGTGACATTGGTATTCATGTTTTAAACAGGGATACGAAACGATTGGTCAATCATCAGCCTGAAGTTATAAAGATTATGAATTGAAATTAGCTGTCACACTAATGATTTTTTCAATGTGAAAATGAACTAGACCTAATTTTCTACTGATAATTTTTTAATATTTTCATCATTCAGAGTCATATGTCCTTTCAATGTTCCTTTATTTAGTTTTGTACGGTATATTAAATTCATCCTGATGACTGACTCGACAAGATCGAATGATGTCAGCCAGTCACTTTATTTCAGTTTAACTATATGGGTCAACAACTATTGATTTTGGTTATAAACATGTATTCAAGGTGGAACAATTAGCAACAAAAGTTGAACGATTGAATGAATGATAATTATGTCAGTAATAAGCTAGCTAGTTTATATTTTATAAAAAGTGAACATGGAAATTTTGTGGTAAATTAATTAACTACTCATAAGTAGGTATGTGCAGGATACACAAATCTCTCAAAATGTTCTGCGTTCATTACCAAATGAATATTTCGTTGACTATAGGATAATGGCTAATACCATCTCCCATTTCATGGGAGATAACTTATATTAAAAAGCGGGAAAAGTTGAACTCGCTAAAATAAAGCTGTTATAAGTGCACGGAATACATTGTCAACCAACCTAGTTGTTAAATTTCTGTGTATGTTGCGTCAAAAATTTTACTGTTTAAAATTACAACCTACTTGGAATTCCTGTGTCGTTTCCAAATTTTCATAAAAATGTCTTTTGAAATTGTCTTTTTTGATTCAGTGGTTTGGTAGTTCGTGCATTTGAGCTTGAGCCACTGTCACAGGCTCGAACCCCACCCTATCTATATCAGTTGGATTGACCATATGGTAGGATCACTAACTTTCACACATAGGGTATAGATTATGTTCAAATATACGGATTTGTACCTGGTACATAAATTTATAACCGTAATAATAATTTCCAACTTACATAGAAAATTCACTTGTTGTTTTACTTGTATCTTCTCATTGATACTTATTCCTATTATTTATTACACAAGCAGGTGGCTATCAGGACTCAGTAGCTAAGTGAATAACGCGATGGCGTTTGAAACGAACGGTACTGTGTTCGAGTCCTGGAGTGAATATAAACTCCAGGGTGCATGTACATCCAGCTAACGAGTCCCAAATAGGATGAAACGCGCGTCCTGGATTCCACTATTAGCCACTATCCTTTTTATCTTACATAGATAATGTTTAGACTATATGATCTTAATTTCAGCCCCATTTGAACCAACATTTCGACCTGAAGGACTGTTTCCTGGTTCATATTATTTGAAGAATGTAGATGATCGTTATCGTAGATTTTATGAGAAATTATCAGAATGCTAGATGGTAAGTTAAAAGAAAGTATCTTGTAATAATTTTTATATCATTCAATTTCAATTTATCAACGTAAGTTCACTCATAATGTTGTATAAACTGTCGAAAGTCTGTTGGAGTAAAATATTTACTTATGCATACATTTGGACACATTACCATAATAAAAAGCTCATTGACTTGTTTTGAATTTCAAACAAACACTTAAAAGTTTGAATTGACCAAGAGGAGTTTTTTTAGATTGATGAAAGTGAGATATTTTCTAACATAAAATTTGGGGTTGTATTCTTTTCTCGTAAAATTTCTCCGAAATCAACCTTCTTTGGGAATTCTCTGTAGTTTTATCAATTATTCGAACTGTCTCGTCATTTACAGAAAGAGCTACTTCAAAGTAATTTGACAAAATGTAAACACCTGGGTCTCTCTTTTTGATGTAACACAGAAATATCGTCTAGACTGTTGGAATGGTAGTGAAATCAGTCGTACTGATTAATTTACGAGTAGATTCAAAAATAATTGAGAGCTAACAAACGAAGAGATAGCATTAGTTCGCAAAGTCAGTGACTGTTGATGCAAGCCATGATTCCATGTGAATGGAGGGAGGTGATGTCCAAAGCTTATGGTTGTTATCCATTCAACGATCTCAAATAATAGTAAAATATAGGGAAGTGAAGACTTCCTGGAAATCGTTTTGTCGTGCTCAGAATCATTTCCCCTCTTTGTGTTTTAATATTATCTTTTTTTGCGTAGTTCGTTTTTTCATAGCTTTTCTTTGCGAGTCGTATCCTCTGTATTCAGTCATGTTTGCGATCAGTAAAATGATACTATTTCTGTTTCTTTGTATTCATGTTCCTCTAAATTTCCTTTGATTATACTGATATGATTTGGCAACTTGCATCTCTGTATATCAGATTCCGCGTTGATGACTACTGACTGATTCCTGTTCCTATTCTTCTTACACAAAAATTTATCATTTAACGAATAACTGTTGGAGACAATAGCAGAAAGCAATCGATCATTTCCAGTTTTCATTTCAACCTAAAATATATTTCAATGTAAAATGCATGTTTCTTAATTATCCTCTAAAATAGCCTTAATTGTTACTCGCATGATATTTTTTGTCAGTCATAGTAACACAATGATAATAATAATAAATATAGTGATAATAAAGATAATAATAATAGTGATAGTGATAATAATTGGAATAGTATTGAAAGCTAGTTGCTTGTTTTATATTGTTACCATGACTAAATTTCCATGTTCAATATACATGGACTACTATTTATTTTACTGGTCATCATTTTATTTACTACTGTGTGTAATTAATAAATAGTGGTAATGCATTTTGTAAATTGATAGTATGATGAAGAAAAGATGTGTAAAAAGATGTGAATTGTACAATAAGTATTGATATCCTCAAGTGAGAACTAGGTTAATATGCATATGGGTATATATGAATTTACAAACTGTCAACATCGCGCTTAATCATGAATGATCAGTATTCGCAAGTATGTAGTGTATTTTTAAAATCAAACTAATTACACAAGACCGGCACTGACTGTTTTGTAGTCAGGCGTTGAATGGAGTGAAGGGATTGGTTTTTCTAGGTATCTATGCTAATATTGATATCTTCGTTCCAATTATCTTCACTGACATCTTGGAAGCACTAGATTGCCGTTTCGTCCAAATATGGGGCTCCTCAGCGATGCGCATCCACGGCCCCGCATGCGGGAATTGAACTCAGGACCCTCGGTCTCGCACGTGACCCTTAACCCTGAGACCATGAAACATCTGTCAACCGCTTCTAGGTTCTCGATGGGGGTTTCGTTTATCTCAATTCATGAATTCAACCATGAAAATACGTCAATCTCCACAAATCCTCATACATAGTAATACTAGGACGAAACATCTATTCAGAAAATTCTGATTTTTCGGTTGATTGTTGGACACTCCCTACAGATGAAGTATATAGAATTAAGTAATCAACATATTTGTTTTTTATTCAGATTGTTTGTGGTTTTGTTGATTATGTTTTGTCAATTAACTATATTTAAATATTTTATTTTGTTTCGACCAATTTCTCTTTCTTCATTTTATGAGGATTTCATCTTTGAAACACCATAATTTTGTTACTCTCTGTCTATCAAGATTTATTATAAAGAAAAAAACAATAGACCTGAATGAAATACTGATTATGTCAGCTGAACTCTTACCATATGCATGCTTAATTAAAGTGAAATGTAATCAGCACAATTCTTTATGAGTTATTGTTTTGTCGGGACATCAATCATAACTTGTCAATGATATCTTTTTTGTTGTTGTGTTTTAAAAGAATGAAAATTGAAGAAATAGAAAATAATTTACTAGTTTCTCTCTTCTTTTTTTCTCCCACTTATTTCTTTGTTGAGCTACAGTGTGTTCTTCGCTTTTCTTCTCAGTTTTGTTCTTACGTAAACTGTCAAAGAAATTTAGTGTATTTGTGTTGTTTTCATGAATTTCGGTTTGTTTTTTTCCTGGAAAAAATTTTTCTGTGTGCGTGTGTAGTGCATGATATAATGAAAAAGACTGTGCATGTATGCTTTCTTTGTATGTTTTAGTATTACGAACAGATCTTTATTCTCATTCCATTTTAGTATGAAAAACTTTGTTTATGCAGTATTTGTATGGCTTAAATGATTTAATGTTATTATTCTTCTGTTATAAAATTAATTGTCTATCTCTATCCATTTGAGTTCTTACTGTACACTGATTAACGTGCCAGTGTATAAATGAATGTGAATTAAAATCGAGTTTAGAAATCCAGGGTATATTTGCGAGACTATGATTAATGCTGAACGAGTCTCTAGTTTTGCTAAAGATGAATCGCATTTATTAGCCATGTGAAGTTAAATGAATGAGTTCAGTTGGTTTTTGTATATTGGTTTTGAACACACAATAATTATGTGAAATCTAAAAATCCTAGCTGATGAAGCTTGCTTTTCAATATGATGTGTACTTCAAACCATGAAAGATTCAACGATCAGTTTAGTGCTCAAGTCGTCGGGACAATGAACTGTCAACATATTATGCATACATAAAAGGTTGAAGCTAGAAATAGTAGTTGATATTAGGAATCGAGGAGATACTGGAAAATGAAAAAGGTTTTAATTCTAATTAAGTTGAATTAGTATGCTTGTAGCAGTGTCCAGGTAGTTTACATTTCTCAGGCGCCCACACTATGAATGGACATTAATTTTTGAGGAACCTGAAAATGAATGGTAGGTTTTTTCGTTCTAGGAACATATCTAATGGGACAACTAGTTGATATTAGTGTCATAATTTATTTTCAAGAAGTTTCCAACGTATTAGTTCTGTACTTGTTGGACACTATAGTTAGTGAAGCAAGATAATTCGTAATAATTTTCTGTTAACTTGGTCATTATTCGAATATTTCCTAAACTGGTAGATTTCTTTCATAGTTGTATAAAGCGTAAAAGTTAGTATCTTGTATAGCATATATCAAATAAAATACTATCATTTATTAAGTGAAAAATTCATTTTGCAAAATTTGTGGTGTATACACATGTGTATAATCATTTGAAGGGTTAATATAATTACAAGCAACAAAAGAGAATTAATTGAACCAACTATCTACATAATAATAATTTCGCCAAAGAAGAAAGAACCTCCGTACTGATAGAACAACATGGCTACTTAATAATAATACAAAGAACATGATAATAAGTTGTACATATAATGAACAAAATGAAATTTCACTTTCAATCGGATAATTTCATCTTTTTTTAAAGCTAATAAACCGCACATAAATACATTATAAAATGTATGTAGAATTAGTAAAATGTTTGTCATTATCACTTGGATGTAGCGTATGTATTGATTAAAGTTAGAAATTTAAACCTTTGAATTTCAGCATGACAGTCCAAACGACCATGGATTCATTACGAATTCTTAAGGTTCTGGTTTCAACCCTCGTGCTATGGTCATTGGTCCTTATCCTTAAGTGGTTTCTTACCACGGCTAAACAGCTGTCCAATTTTCGATTTTTATTAACACCCTAGTCGATACAAATCCGTAACGAAAACTGCGTATGGATATCCTGCATATAATTAAAATAAGTTTCGTATATCGGTGAAAAACATCAGTCAAGAAATGCTTATAGGACAAAAATAATACCATGATTAATAGCGTAAAGAAATTCACATAAATTGACAAGAAACAGGATGTTGACGAAATTTAATGTATGATGTTATCTCGGTAAATGTGTTTTCTACATGTCAGTGGTAGAAGTGTTATATTGAAGTCAACATTATTTTTACCAGAAGGGGTTTTGTGGAGAATTGGTAATTGCAATAGTTGAAATCACGAATCAATTGAAGCTAGACCACCATGGAAAACCTGGAAGCACTGGACGGCCGTCTCGTCCTAGTATGGGACTCCTCAGCAGTGCGCAACCACGGTCCCGCCCCCCTCGAGATTCGAACCCAGGACCTATCAGTCTCGCGCCAGGCGCTTAACTAACTAGACCACTGAGCCGGCATCCAACGGTGTTAATGTCTAACTTCAACCAATCCACGAAGTTGCGCCACCGTACACCATTGTTTTCAGTGAGCTGATATCTCACAACAGACTAGGTTTTCCATGTTGGTCTAGCTTCAATTGATTCATGATTTCAACTATTGAAATTACCAATTCTCCACAAAACTCCTTCTGGTAATAATCATCTGCTCACTAGTGACTGACTTCAAGAGATACTCCTGAAGTTCTAGTGAGAAGCCGTTACCAGTGGAGTTCAACCAGGTCTGTTGTGAGATATCAGCTCACTGGAGACAATGGTGTACGGTGGCGCAACTTCGTGGATTGGTTGAAGTTAGACATGAACATCGTTGGATGCCGGCTCAGTGGTCTAGTTAGTTAAGCGCCTGGCGTGAGGCTGGTAGGTCCTGGGTTCGAATCTCGAGGGGGGCGGGATCGTGGTTGCGCACTGCTGAGGAGTCCCATACTAGGACGAGACGGCCGTCCAGTGCTTCCAGGTTTTCCATGGTGGTCTAGCTTCAATTGACTCATGATTTCAACTATTGAAACATTGTTTTTGTTGAAAGCTATATTTCCATAGTTTAAATCACATGCTGGTCATAATTAAACCATCTCATTGGAAACCAGGAAGGACTGAGTAACTTCAATTTTAACATGAAATCCCTAAATCATATACATCCAAAACCCTATCTCAAATCATCAGATCTAGGGTATTCAGTCTCATGATCAAATTCTTATCCTGTAAACCATTGGGGTATATATATATATATATATATATATATATATATGGGCACTTGTTATAAAATCATAATTTTCCACAGTTATGTTAAAAATCTTTCCAAATCGGTTCACAAATTGTTTTCTCACAAGGTAAAGATTTTTAATTTTATATTTAAAAAAGTATTATCAGACTTAATCTTGTTAAATCACTAATAAAAAACCTTTTAAAATTAGCTAGTTAAAAAAGTACGTTAATTAATACTATCCAGTTGTACGAGAAATGCGTAATCAGACTAATTGTGTTATCTGTTATCACTTACTAATTACATATATTTATACATAACAGAGCTGTTTCCACACTTCGGTATTCTAATTCACACAGGTGCATAAGAATTTCTTGAATAGGTAACAATCATTGTTTTTTTTTGTAACAGTTGAATCTTGTATTTTTCATCTAATAAAGTATGTTATTACATTTTTGGTTATGATATGCTGATCCTCTTTATTTGTATGCATATGTATAAATCACGAGATTCATATTTAACAGATTTAAGCTAATGAATTTATCGTCTATCATGACTGACTGGCGTAGGTTTAGATTGATAGAAAACAATTGGACGACCATAGCAGGTCATGATATTAATTCATGAATACCTTATCTTTTGAACTATCCATTGTCGGTAATTGTACACTTCTTGATTGAGATATACAGGATACTTGTGTTACCTTGTCAGCTATTTTGGGTGAATTGGCGAAGTTCTATTCCCTATCCAAACTTTCTATTGTTCAATCTCACTTTTTTCATTTTGAAATGCATTTTACTTCTGCCTCTATCAATATTATTTTACATCTTGTATTTCTCAGCTTTTCGATTGTGTTCAGCTATGCTGATGTGATTGTTCGGCAGCCAATACCGTTACACATTCGTTCATGATTCTAACTTGATGATTACTAACTAATACATTTATTAAAATAGCTTAAAATCCTTTTTCTATGATGCAGCTTCATTTATTCTACGTTTTCTTATAATTTCTGAACTTGCTATAAATTCCAAATTTTTCACTGCTTGATATCATTCGTTACATTTTTATTACGTTTCGTATCTTCATTTCTGTACATTTAATATTATAACCCCTTGTTTATTTATTATTTTGGCAATTTCATAATAAAACAATATTAATTAATGAGTGGATTTTTGAATTTGTGGTTTGTATAACCGGAGAATTCACTCTTCTAATTTCTATACATTCATGAGTGAATTTGAAGATAAAAAATTATATTTCTTTAGGCTGCATAATAAAATATTGTAAACCAAAGAGACAAGTCAAGAAACAAGCCAATCTCTGAGATTCAAGAACAGTGGGAAAGGTGTGTGGAGCACTTTGAATAAGTATTGAATAGGCCAGCCCCACTGAATCCAACGAACATCGTAACAGCACACACAGACCTTCCTATAGAAGTCACTCCAACAATGACCGAAGAAATCAGGATTGCCATCAGTCAAATCAAGAGTAGGATCCGACACTATACCAGCCGAAGCACTAAAGTCAGACATAAAAGTAACTGCAAACGTGCTTCATAATCTACCCAGAAAGATTTGGGAGGAAGAACAAGTGCCGATGGACTGGATATTCGGAACATCAACTCTGGGATGCAGATACATCCAGCTGACGAGTCCTAAATAGGATGGAACGCGCGTCATAGATTCCACTGCTAGCTATCGTCCATCTTTGCTTATAAACATAATTAGATGAAAGTAATTTATATATAAACTTGTGTTTTTGATCACCTCTATATATTTTTATAGGTTTACTTGGCCCTTGGAAACATTTTCTATCGATCACATAAAGGATATTCTTACTAAATGCGTTTTCAAGCATTAATCTCTTTAATTATAAAAAAGAACGTAAATCGATAAATAGTTCATTCTTCAAACACCACACATTCGCACCATGTATTTCCCTTCAAACTTATCTGCAAGCTTAATTGAACCGCCTCAACACCAATATG